TTCTGCTTGAAATATTAGCCTTAGCTTTGAATTTCCTGGCTCATATGGCATGTGTGATCAGTGTAATACCTGTATACTAACTGCTGCTGTTTGAACTTGAGTCATTTAGGTGAATTTATTTTTTTTTATAGCTGTTGGATGATAAAGAGCAGAAAATCCTAGTTCATTAGTATGGCCTGAGTACATAAAAACCCACCCTGATTTACTGGTTAGATCCAGCAGGTGGAAGGGGCTGTAGATCTTTTTCTGTGTCTAAGTGAAAGAGTAGGTTGTAAATGAGGATGGGATAGAGCTGAGGTGCAGATTATCAGTGTTCCTGGCTTAGCATTGTGCCTCAGTTCCTGTCTTTATCCTTAAATGTGGGGAAGTCTGTGCAGTGTGGCTTGGACTCTAGGCTGTGGATAGCCACTTGTAGGTCTGTATCACCTGCCTGCACTAAGCCTGCTCTGATTTGACCTATTCTGATTTGGGGACAGCGGTCCCCTAACCAGGACTCATAAGCAGGTCTTCCCCACAAAGCCTTCTGATGCTTCTTCAAGCTGTAGGAAGTGCAGACCCATGAGTGAAACTGGTGGGGATGGAAGATGATGCCATGATTCACCATGCAGTCCTTGCTTCTGGTTGTTACCTGGCCCTGAGGAGGTTGGAACTCATACTCCGTAGGCTCCTATGCCTCTGACTCAGAAGTGGACTGAGATACCATGGAGGTTTAGGAACAACAGGTTATTTCTGTTTTACTCATCTAAAACAAAGGTGTCAAAACATTCTTTTAGACATGAAAGGTTTTTGACTTCAAACGAAGGCTGTCTGTGGTGTTCCTGAGGACCTTGTGATCTTCAGGGAGGGTGAAAGACAGGCAGAGGTTGGCACACCTTGTGGTCAGCTGTGAAGAAGTCTTGCTCTTTTGAAGTCTCCCACTCCACTTTTGGCTCTGTGAGCCAAAAACAACTGGGGCAAAATCATCATCATAAAGCTTGCTCTCAGCATGCCTGGGGCTAGAAAGTCTTCCTCAAGCAAAGGAGTCAAGAGAGAAGTGCCGGTGATTTCTTTATCAGGTAAAACCCTTGCTCATACTTGGTGATTGTTTTGTGTAAAGTCTGGTCCTGGTGTAAAAGCTGATGAGGGACAGGCACAGTAGTGGTTTAATCTGTTTGAAGGAGAACTTGAGCCTTCCAAAGTAATTTGTGACTCCCAGGTAGTAGTTGAACCATTGCCTCGTGTTTCTGCCACTTAGTCAATACTCAAAGAGGCTGAACATGGTTGGATCAGGTCAGACATCCCAGCTTTGATGTACTGGACAGTGATTATCATCCCCAATATAAGGTCTCCAACACAAGAAGAATGTGAAGCTGTTGGAGTGGGTCCAGAGAAGAGCCATCAAGATGATGAGAAGGCTGAAGCACCTCTCCTATGAAGACAGGCTAAGAGAGCTGAGGCTGTTCAGCCTGGAGAAAAGAAGGCTCCAGGGAGATCTTATAGCACCTTCCAGTATCTGAAGGGGCTACAGGAAAACTGGGGAGGGGCTTTTCATAAGGGAATGGACTAATAGGATGAGGTTAACCATTTTAAGCTGATGGAGGGTTTCCTGTAAGGGTGGTGAGACACTGGTTGCCCAGGGAAGTTGTGGAAGCTCCATCCCTGGAAGTGTTTAAGGCCAGATTAGTGTCTCTTCCAACCCAAATAATTCTATGATTTTCTGAACTGCATATTTTATCATCTTTTTGCAGTGTTTGTTTGCCCCTTAGTTTGATTGGGCACAGAGGGTTCACAGAATCATAGGGCATGTCTGTGTGCTTTAGTTAACCCTGTTCATTATTTAAATACATGTGGTGAGGGTTGGCTGAGGAATGGACAGGCATCCCATCCCCTGCTTTTGCTGCAGGGTCTTCTCTGCCAAAGGGTGGGAGGGGCAACTGCAACCCCAATGCCGTCAATCCCTGTGGAGATGCAAAGCAGGGTCCTGTGCCTACAAACGTAAGAAAAGAGAAAGAAAAAATAAATAAAATCAAACCTCAAAGCCATAAAAAAACCAAGGTTGCACTCAGCTTTTTTTTTTTTTTTTTCCAGGCATATAATTCAAAGTGTGATGTGTTGCTGAGATGCACATTCCCGGGCTGTGGCGAACGGGGCAGAGGTTGAGACACATCTTCCCTGGAGAGAGGGAGGGTTGCATAGGCCTGAGTCAGCAGCAAAGGTCACTTGGCTGAAAGTGTTGCAGGAGGAGACGGTTTTGTAATAGCAACTGATGCAATGTTTCTGTGTTCAGTGCTGACAGCATGTGGGTTGGTGTCTGCACATCCAAGGGACAAACTCCCCTGTTGGTGAACACAGGGTGATAGGGCAGTGACGATCAACTTCGTTTGCCCACTCCACCTCTCAAATGACTTCTCCATCTTCCTTGTGCTCAGTCCATTGCTTTCTCTTCTCCTCTGCCTCCTCTTTTTGTTCTTTTTCAGTTCTGGCATTTAATCCCATTGTCACATTTTTTGTTTTATGGCCTTGGCTCATCTACTAGTTTGGGGTCATTATCACATATGATTAGTCTTGGAGCCTAATGAAGGGGATCAGACATAACTCTAGGGTATGTCTGAGCCATTTAACGTTTTGGAGCTCAAAGCTCTGCAGAGGAAGTTTGTTTTTAAGCTTCCTGAGAAGATAAATTTGCTTGTTGGGTTGTTTAGGGTACAAGTAATAGAACTGGAATCCCTCCAGGGGGGAGCAGTGTCCTCTGGGATTTGAAACATCTCAGGGATAATTATCCAGTGCTGAGTAAGTGTCATTAGTCTCGAAATAGCTTTTAGTGGATGATCATGTTTTTCTTCACATTGGTTAGTGTGAAGGCTTGAAACCTTGTATTATCATTTAGTCTCAATTGCAAGAGCACAGTCCATGTGTTCTTAAAACTGTCCCACTCTGGGAAAGCCAGGCGTGGAAAGACACAAAATAGCAACCCCAGAAAATAAAAAGGGCATTTTTTTGAGGCTGCTCTTTAAGGTGCCCCTCTTTCACTGTATTGAGAGGTAGGGGAGAGCTGTGAGGTCTTACATATCAGAGCAAGGTGAGGTTAGAGCATCCTCAGAACAGCTCCAGCTGCTGCAGTTTGGTGGCACTTTGCAGGGGACCATAGCTCCAGCTCAGCAAAGCAGCAGCAGGGAAAGTGCCACGTGGTGTCACTGGCCCAGGCAAAGTGACATGTCCATGTAGTGACTCAGCTGTGTCCTGCTAATGATCTGCTGATGTGATGCAGCTCATGAGTCACTAATTGGTGTAGTTACCCCTTTTTTTAGGCTGCTGGAAAGGTCAAGGATCACAGAGATGTGAAGTAGCTGAGTCAGCCTTCTACGTGTTTGCCTTCAGGTCCACCAGGCTCTTGATGGTGGCTGGAGAGCTGTTGCAGTGTGTCCTGTCAGGCAGACCCAGACTGTCTCTGTTTTATCTCATATTCTCCTGCTGTTTGACTGTAAGCCTACAAGAGCTGTATGGGGGGAGTGGAGTTGGTAGCTGGGGCTTTCTGGTGTGTGGTAACAAAACCTCCTGACATTTGGAAGCAACAGAGAGGACACTCTGCCTTTGGGCTGAGCTTGTTTCTCTTGTGCTGTACTGGTTCCCTTTGTCAGCTCTGTAAAAACCCTCTAAGCATTGTGGGGCGTTATTGAGGATAGCAATTTCGTAGTACTTTTAAAAATAATTTTCCCCCCACCCATGTCCTGTGCTTCCCATCTTTTTCTCTGTCTCCTCATCCAATACCTAATCTATAGGCACAGGTGGGTTAGGTACCAATGTTCAGATATCACCTTACCTGGCATCTCAATCAATGGCTTGTGTATCTCTATCTTCACTGACCTCTCATACGCTGTTACCCCAGATCAGTCTTGAGAGGTTTTTGATGTCACATGTAAAACCTGGATCCTCCTGGGCACTGGGTTTGGACACTGCTCTTCTGATCCATTTCTATGGCTTTTTCTATCTGCCTAAAAATCTCCAGCTTGAGTCTCTTCTGCCAGTTGTTGCTTTTTTGAAAGGTCACAGACTCCTTTTCTGGTTGGGTTGTCAGTGATACCCTTGGGTGCACTGGAGGTGGAAGTGTAGATACTCATGCCTTGTGCCTGGCTTAGCCACAGCAAACTGTACCTTTATCTGTTCAATTGTCCCCATGCTTCAAGCAGCCTAAGGAAGCCTTGTGGCTCTTTCTCCATGCAGGCAATCCTGCCCACCTCCTGTGACACTGATGAAACCTCAGTCTCTGCATCCTGCCAAGGAAGTTGGCCTTGGCGTTCACTTCCCATTTGAGCTTTGCACCAAGCAAGCTACCCTTACAAAACTAAAGAAAATTATCACAGTAGTAGCAATATTCATAACAGCTTCTATTATTTCCTCTTTTTCAAAAAGTCCTCTTAGTGTACTTCAACCAAACTCTTGCCTCACTCCCCCACTATGACTTTAGCAAATGAACTACTTCTGTCTCTAAGGCAAACGCTGCTGCTTTTATTTTAAAATTATTTTAATTTCCTGATCTGTTCTGCCCTCATGTTCTCCCCAGCCCTGCTCTGTGGGTACCCAGTGCCTGCCTGGAGGAGCTTGTGGGAGGTTTCTGGGTATTGGCCAAACAGAGATAAATTTTGCTATCCCCTTTTACAATGTGGCATAGTCCACACCGTCCTTTGGAGCTGATATAGTTTAAAGTGAAACAAACATTTGGGGAAATCTAGGAAACGGTGGCTTGGGTTTGTGGAACACTGAAAGCTGAAAATGAGCATCCCTGATTTGTGGGCAGCCAGGTGAGATGGCACGAAAGCAGAAACGTGGCTGAGGTTTTGCCACAGCTGACGTTGGACTACATGGATGTCCCAGCCTGGAGTGGGAAGGGCTCTTCTCCCTTATCTGAGGACCCATGCACGTGCCAGGGGACCTTTGTTCTGAATATTTGGAGGAATAAAGTTCAGCAAGGGCATTTCCCCACTGCCTTGGTTCACATCGCCTTGTGCTCTCTGTCTCCCTTGCAGCTGCGTAAATGAGTATGGAAGATTATGATTTCCTCTTCAAAATTGTTTTAATTGGCAACGCTGGTGTGGGGAAGACCTGCTTAGTCCGTCGCTTCACTCAGGTAAGGTTGGGCACCTCTTGGACGTGGGACATTGGGGTGGGGACAGGACTGTGGAGATCTGTCTGTGCACTGAGGGCTCTGCCAGCGTCACTGCTCCAAAGTATTTTGTTGTCCACACTCTTGGTGGGTGCATCAGCTGTAGCAACGTATAGGCACAAGCAGCACATCTGTGTCTATTGCTGTGCTTGGCCGTGCTGGGGATCTTGCACTGGAGAAAGCTCATCCCTCTCTGAAGATGGAAAGTGCCCTCTGAAAGCTGCTGGGACAATTCCTGCTTTTGAGGTGCTTTGCGTTGGTTACAGGGACCAGCACGTCTCCTGGTGTACTCCTGTGTGCCTTCTCCTCCTCAAAACTTACTGCACACAGCTCTCCCTGTTGTTTGTCATTAGTAGATAATTAAATAAGCTGGGCCCTGGGCTGTCACTCCAGTGTCTTCTGTTACACACCAGACCTTTGTTTGTGACAGAATAACAGGGAAAGGACTAGGCTTCTCTGGTCTGAGGCAAGAGAAGGTTTTGTATGACGGACTATAAAACATGAGTTGTAGGTTTTTTTGTTGCATTCTCCAGTAGGAGCTGTTAGCCATTTCCCCCCCTCAGTGTTAATTTTAGTTTTAAAGCTGTGGTGAATTTAAACACTTTCCAACTGCCTGTGACAGCCGGCGACAGTAAAGCTAGTCAACCCCAAAGGGTTAAACTAAAAAATTTGTTACCACTTCTGCTGCTTGTGCTTTGCCAGCACAGCTGCTGTAGGGGATGGATGTGTCCCAAAATAAACATAGAATCACAGAATCATAGAATGGTTTGGGTTTGAAGGGACCTTAAAGATCATTTAGTTGCAACCCCCCTGCCGTGGGCAGGGACACCTCCCACTAGACCCAAGTTGCTCCAAGGCCCATCCAACCTGACCTTGTAGACATAGACACACAAATCAAAGAGCTCAATTTTTTTTTGTTTATTTGTTATTGGTGCTTCCTGATGCTGCTGCAATCAGATACCACCAGCATCACTCCAGCCATTGCCATTGCTGTAGCACCAGTAGTGGCTGGCTCTGTACTTCACTCCCAAAATGCTGTGCAGGGATGTGACCCCATGCTGGGAGCTGCCAGAAATACCTTTTCGTGCTGTGGTTTGTGGTTGAAGGGAAAGGGAAGGTGTGACATTGCAGGAGCAAAGGCGCCTGATCCCGTGCTGGAAGTCCCACCTCTTTTGAGACATTGGGAAGGGGGATAGAGGATTTCCATCTACCCTTTTCCTGCCTTCGCCAGCTTCACAGAAGCATATGGGCTTTTCCCCTCTCTTTTCCCTGTATGCATCCTCCTCCTCTTCTTTTGTATTCCCACCTCTCAAGGCAAGGACTTTGCTACACAATTAGGGATGTAAGCAGCAAAACCACTGAGGTTGAAGTATGGTAACCTTTGTGTTGGGGAAATGTAGTATTTTCTTCTCTAAATGTGATGGAAATAAGTGTCTGGGGGAGGGGACAAGAGAGGAATGGTTTTGAGGATGGGAAAAGGTGAGGATTGGCCCCCAAAGGGAGTTTTGTCTTGTGATAGAAATTTGCTTAATGAAACTCTGTTTTATTTCAGGGGCTTTTCCCACCAGGTCAAGGAGCCACGATTGGAGTTGATTTTATGATTAAAACCGTGGAAATAAACGGCGAAAAAGTAAAGGTAGGAGCCTGACAGTGTGAAGTGTAAACTCGTGGTGCCATAGCTGAGGTTTGCTGCAGCCCCCCTGCTGCCTGCAGGCACACAGCTGCTGGCAGGGCTCAGGCACTGCTGGGTCTCACAGGGTTTGTGCCACTCTCCAAATTACCACCAGGATGATAATCATGAACCTACTCTAAGGGAGAAAACAGGAAGGGGAGACCTTGCAAAACTCTGTCCTTGCTTAGGAGACACTAAAATTGTGCCTGGCTGGAGTTGAGGAAGCACAAAGAAGTGTTTCAGTGCAACCTCTGCTCATGGCGTTTCTGATAAGTGGAAATCTGTGTCATTCCCCCTGGGACATGCTTGATGAAGGTCTTCTGTGAGCTCCCAAGGTGGCTGTTAGGGAGAGCAGGCCTCTGGACTTGGGTGGTTCTGCACAACAAAGGTTCATCTTCCACTTCTTCTGAGTTACAGATTTGGGAGAAGCAGAGATGATCACAAAACTGGTGCTTCAGTCAACAGGCTGAATTGAGAAGGACAATGTCCTCTATATTTTTAACTCTTTTACTCTGCATAATAGGGTGTTTGCAACCAAAGTGCTGTTGGGAAACTGTCCCTGTCCTGTGGTAACTCCAGAACTGAGCCTGAGCATTGCTTGGCAGAGGGTTGCTTTGCCTGGGCCAAAACACGTCAGGGACTAGCCTCATGCTTCATGGGATCCATGGTTGGGTTCCAGCATCCAGAGATGCTGGCTGGGACTGCTTTGTTCATTAGTAGAGATTTCACTAGAACTACTGTGGTGTCCAAGAGGTGAAAGAAAAGTATGGTTACCTGAGCCTCTACTATAAAGATGTCTAGGGTCCCTGAGCTGCTCCTGGAATTACTCTGCCTCCATTAAATCCAGGGCCATTGAGCTGAAAAACAGCAGTTGTGCCCTTGCTGCCTTCACCAAGCCTAGTACTGAGCAAATAGGAGAGTGGCAGCAGTGTAACAGTGGCTGGGTATGACATCAAGACTCATTTTTAAGCTCCATGTAGGTGATGGGATGAAAACAGATTTTTCAGCCCTGGGTTTTTTTAACCTGGATTTTAACACTGAGGGTTTTTAAGAAGAAAATCAGAAGCTGTGTTCCTGAGTTTAGGAAAGATTTTAAAAGCCACAATTGTACCAGCAGGCTTCTACGCAGCTGCCTGAGGAGCTGTACAAATGGCAAGTGATAGTCCAAGACCAGAAGACCTTCATGCCCGAGCAGGTGAAGAACAAGAGTTGTAAATACCTTTTCCTGCTAGAGATGGAGTTAGTGTTCAGCATGTGGCTGTGCAAGCAGGGCAGGGCAGGGGGCAGGGATGCACTGAGGATCACGTGCAGCCCACATGCTGTCCCTACTTAGTTTGGTCCTTGTGATGCTCATTAGCAGACATCTGGTGAGGCAGGGTCAGCCAGGACACAGATGCTGCTTTTCCAGGCTCCTCGGACAGCAGAGATGCTTCTTTCAGCCCAAATCAGCTCCAGTGGAACAGCTCGGAGAATCTAAGCTGGTAAATGGCTTAAGTCCTGCATTGAAGGTGGAATTAATTTTTTTCTTTGTACCTGGCTTAAACCAGCTGTTTCAAGATTGTTTTGGTCAATGGAGGAAGAAAACCAATCTCAAGGAAGATAAATTCCATCCCTTTCAGACACCTCTCGTTTCCAAGCATCTGGTTCCCTGTCAAGTACAGATTGAAGCCTTAAGAGCTTGGCTTATATCTGAGGTCTGTTTTTTGAACAGGTGAACTTTGTTTGACTTGTTGCTCCCATGACATAATCCTGCTTAAGACTAGCTTGGACTGAGGATGCAAACTCCTTAAGAGAGAGTTTGGAGCAGTCATGCCAACACTGGCCATGTCAGGGGCAAGGACAGTTCAGGGAGGCTCGACAAGCTAAATGAAAACTCATCAGCATGGTATTTCTCTGCTGCCCTTCAAAGAGCTGATGAAGCACAAGTGTCTACCCAAGAAACTCAATTCATCACCTTGGGGCTTCACAGAGCTGTTAGCAAGTGGTAGCTGGTGTACTTCATGTAGCAAATAATGAGTTGCTAAATAATCTGTCCAAATAAATAAAAATCTCCTGACCCCACCAGTGGAGTAAATTGGAGTTTCTGGAGCTCAGACACAACGACGAAGATTGGGAGAAAGCTTAGTATGATGTATACTGGCATTTGAATGAACCTTCTGGAGTCTGAAAGGCAAACTGATTTATTTTAGTGAGTGATCTGGTCACCAAAACTTTTTGACTAAGCAGTGCTAGGGAGAGTAAACATGTAATGAGGAGGAAAAGCAG